TCCGGACTCTTCTTTGCAGCCTGAGGCAGGGAAAACTCGGAGGCCAAGTGATCGAGAAAGCCGCGCGCCTGCCCGGCGATCCCGCTTGAGGCTACTATTTGCTTAAGAACTCCCCCCCCCCCAAAAAAAAAAACATAGACATATTCTTCCTTACAAGGGTAATATAGGGATTATTATCTTCATTATCTTCTATTTTTTTGGGATTCTTAAGCAAGTATAGGAGGGTGTTGCTACAACAGTGTCGGAACCATGCACCATCACCTGCTAGAGACTCCTTCAGTTCAGACAGTGAACCCTAAACCCTATCAACCTTATGAAACCTATCAACCCTATAAACCTAAACCCTAAACCCTAAACCCTAAACCCTAAACCCTAAACCCTAAACCCTAAACCCTAAACCCTAAAACCTAACAACCCCTGGCCCGAAACACTTTCTGCCAGTAGGCCCGGAGACGCCTGTGGAAGGAATTCGGCAAAGCGGCCCAGCAGGTCTTGGAGCACAGCCAACCTCTGGGCAGGCTTGGGCTTCGGGTTTTTATTGGGCTGACATAGCGCTTTTTGTTTCATTAGGGTTTAGGGTTTAGGGTTTCGGGTTCAGGGTTATATCGGGTTCCACACAAAGATGATAGCAAAAAACCAAGGAAGATGGGCTCCTGGACATGTGCCTTCACATGCTCCCGGGGGGGGGGGGGGGGGGGCTCTTAAAGTAGCATGGGATGAGTAGAATATATAAACCCTAAACCCTAAACCCTAGACCCTAAACCCTAAAATACTTCGATAGGTGCCTTGGCTCCTGGCATGTTGCCAGCAATTGCATCTGATTCTCGTCACTTGCAACCGCAACTGGGTGGCCATTTGCCCGGGGGTGCCACACTACCGTGATTGTTTTCAGTGCGGGGTTCAGGCTGTTGCAGAGTTTTAGTCTGGGTTTTTCTGCTTCGGATTTTAAGGTTCACAATATCTTGAGTTCTTGGTGTAGGTTCTCGGCTTTACGGGTTGTTCAGGGTTTGAAGAAGGTTTCATGACACGCAGGAAGGCAGCAGCACGTGGGGCGTGGCGTCTAGCAGAGCGAGGAAGTCAGTCAGCAGCTCCGGAATGGTTGGCTCAGATGATGGGGCGGTGCTCCTGAAATGCGGGGAACCCCATGTTTAAATAGGGCTTCGGGGAAAGTCTCGTCCCCAAACCCACATGCAACCCCAAAAACCTGCAAATTCGTGCTGTAGGCCAGAACCCTCAAACTGTCAGGTATAACCCCCAAAAGTCATAGGACATGGGAAACCCAGGTTACCAAGAAACCCTAAACCCTAAACCCTAAACCCTAAACCCTAAACCGTAGAGTCGGCTCAAAGCAAAGTCTCCCCACAAGGCCGTGTTCAGGCTCAGCAGTTTCCAGCTCTGCATTGGAGCGCCGGTCTGCAGCTGCACCCCTTGGAGCCAGCGGTTTAGGGTTTATAATAGGGTATAGGGTCTCGGGTATAGGGTTTAGGGTTGAGGGTTCAGGGTTTAGGGTTATCTGATTTGTTCATCCGAAACCCCCCTCTTCCTGTCCCTTTCCCCATGCCTCAAAATCATTCTGAACAAACGATCTGTAAAGATCTGCAATATGGGCACACTATGTGTGGTACATTCTCGGAAGTCAGCTGCAAGGCACTTGGTGGCCCCCAGCGCCTCCCCGAGGTGAGTTTGAAAGGCATCAGAAAGAGTTGCCTACAATGTTTTTTAGAAAGGCGTAGACTTGAGATGTCCCCCTTTGGCTAACAGTCCTTAAAAGGGGCTATGCTGGGCGGTGATAGAATCCCTATCAAGGACTGTTAGTAAGGGGGAACATCCCAAGGGTAGATAATCCACGAAGGTTTCCGAGCTACCTCCCCTCAGGTGTGTGCAGGCTTCGCTACGCGCTGTAAACTCGAAGCCCAGCCCCCCCCCAAAAAAAAGGGGGGGTTTCCGAAGATAGGGGTACCCTGTTTAGGGGTACCTTTAAGGGGCTTCTTTTCTACTTGGGGTATAAACGGGGTACCCCAATTTTTCGGAAACCCGCAACTTTGCATCGATGGCTCAAAGGCTTCAAGAAGCACATCATCTCGTCGAAGGTGGGGTCGCCACGCTCCATCTCATACAGCCACGACTCCTCACACGGGCATGTGCATTCTTCTTACTGTTGGTTAGTGGGCAACGGGGGAATGAAGTACCCTTTTAAAAATGGCTAGCCCTTACAAAAGGGCCTTTATAGGGCGGGCTGTTTATTGGGGGGGTATAGGGCCAAATTAATACCCCTTCCTAGAGCACTCCTTCAACTCACGCAAAAAGACCGCTCCAAGACCACGTCAGTACCTTGCGACTCGAGCCTTATATATAAAGCGCACGGGCAGGAACGCGATTTGATTTGGACCACAGCATGCAAAGGGAACCAGGCACTCACGTTGGTGTGTACTCATGTTTGCTATATGGGGGGTCTACGCGGAAATAGGGGGCCCCCGAAAATAGACCCCCAAATAGTAGGATTCCCCTATAGCAAGGACCCCCGATAAGGTACCCACTGTCTGAATAGCAAAATCCCGGGGCCGCCGTGAGGCACTTCAATCCTTACGGCAAGTACCGTGAATGGTACAAGATGGAAAGGCCTACAGTGGCGCCAACCAATGCGGTCGCCCTCCTTCCACATCGGAGGGACTCATAGCCGAATAGTCGCCTTCATCTCCAAAACCTACTTCAGCAACGGGGCATCTGGTCTGCATCGACGCAGGACGAGGACCCCTGAACCCCGAAACCCTATAACCCACTTAACCTTAAACCCTAAACCCTAAACCCTAAACCCTAAACCCTTAAACCCTAAACCCTAAACCCTAAACCCTAGACCATCCTAAACCCTAAACTCCAACTCGAGCCCATCCTCGAAGCCCGCGCCGACCACCAGCTGACGCCAGGCCGCAACGGGGCGGAAGGCTCGGATTTCTGCCTTCAAGCAACTTGGTAGCCCAGTAGGGTTTAGGGTTTAGGGTTTAGGGTTTAGGGTTTAGGGTTTAGGGTTTAGGGTTTAGGGTTTAGGGTTTAGGGTTTAGGGGTAGCCCAGAAACCATCTTATAATAAGGGCACCCTTTTTTATGGGTTGGTTACTGTATGAGGGAACCCATAACCCAAAAAAAGGTTCAGGGTACCTCTGGGCTACTAAGGCAAGAGCGGCACTGCGTGACTAAACGCCTTCTCTGTGTGTGTGTGTGTGTGGATGGGGATGTGGGTGAATGCGTGTGCGTGATTTTCTTTGTTGGGGTGTGGGTGGGGGGGCGGGGGGGCAGGAGTTTTGGGTTGAGGGTTGAGGGCTTGGAGTTTGGCGCTGAGAAATTGCAAGGGTAACTACGAGAGTTGCCACTTTAGGCTGCAACATGAATTGGCCCAGAAGCCGATTTCCTGCCTACTAGTCAACTCCCAAGCCTAGGGCCATAGATGGCAGAGCATGGTACCGTTGAAGTTTGTCATGTGCAGGAACTATTCAGGGCGTTTGTTTTTTTGTTATAGGGCTTGGGATAGCTTAGATATTCCTTGAAGAAAGGTTGAAGCTTTCAAGCATTTGGGTTGGGATGTCCCCCTTATGCTAACGGTCCTTGATCGGGATTATAATTTAGTTAGGTGGTATAAGGTAGAACATCCCAAGGTTTAGGGTTGAGGGCTGCTGAAACCGCTCATCTCTCAGCAACCTCTCAAAAGCTGACACCTTCACTGGAAAGAGGAGCTTACGCCTTGCCCCCACCACCCCCCACCCCCCCCCCTTACCCCCCACCACCCCCCCCCACCCACCCCCCCCCCCCCCCCCCCCCCCCCCCCCCTCCCCCCAACCCCCCCCCCCCCCCACCCCCCCCACCCCCCCCCCCCCCCCCCCCCCCAACCCCCCCCACCCCAACCCGCACCCCCCACCAACCAAAACCCCACCCCCACACCCCCCCCCCCCCACCCCCACACCGCCCACCACCCCCCCCACCCCCCAAACAACCCCCCCCCCCCACCCCAACAAAAGCCGGCCCAATGGCCCAAGCGACCTTTTGTAGGTTCTCGGTTTGGGATCTTCAGAGCCCTGCCATACAAATTCCGAACCCTAAACCCTGCACCATGAACCCTGAACACTAAACCCTAAAATTCTCAACTTAAGGCCTTTTCAGGCTTCGATTCTTACGCTCGCAGGCGCTTCCGGGTTTCTCAAGGCTGTAGGAGACGCAAGTGAAACGAACCCGAAACTCGAGATGTTCAGCTTCCTAAATCCTAGACTCTGTTTGTGAACCCAGATGAAAGGGTTTCGGGTTTAGGAAATTGAACATCTCGAGTCAACCCTCAACCCTCAACCCTCAACCCTCAACCCTGAACCCTGAACCCTCAACCCTAACGCACCAGCCTTTTCAATTTTGAACCAACTGATCTAACTGTGATCTTGTTCAGCTGGGAAGACGGACACCCGTGCTCGTACTTTTTTGCGTCTGGGCTCGCTGGTACGGATGTACTCCAGAACCACAGGGGACATGAGCAGATGTTCAAAACCACTCTCTCCCTTCTGAGGATAACAGACACGACACAAACTTACTGGTAGCTAGCAGGGAATGAAGGAGTGAGGTACCCTATAGAATCCCCAAAAAGGGTATGTGGAAGGGTGATATAAGGTACCTAAACCCCTCCTAACTCCCTCATTCCCTACCAAGTAAACCCCAGGGGGCAATGTAAAAACATGCGAACTGGACCAGGTGTTTTTTCTAGCTTACGTTTAGGGCTTGGTGCTTCTAGATAGCGAACTTCCAAAAATTGAAGGTTCCCCCGCCGGACAAGGGACTGCTTTCCAAAATCGTACTGAAGGCACCGTAAGTAGGAACCCCTGATGCCGACACCCACGTAGATCACAACATACGACTTAAGGAGAGGGTTTTGTGTCCTAGCTGCCCAGGGTCACATGAGGCATAGCATAGCCATGTTATCTTTAAGGGCTGCCTCGGCTGCCTCGGCCACGGTCAGACGAACCCGGTTCAGACCGTCACAGAGATCTCCAACACGTAGGGGTCAAATGACTTGAACACAAAACTGTCAGGCTGCTCCGCATTTGATGCTGCGACTTCTTCGTGAAGCTCCTGCAGTGCGGTCATGAAGCGCGCAGAGATGGCAGGGTCACAGCTGTCTAGAAAGAACCGCGATAGCTCCCTGGGATCAGACTGGTATAGTTTTGCGCCTGGTCGCGAGGTCAGGGCCCTGGCAAAGAGGAGTGAGAGCCGAGAAGGCAGTGATGGTAACAGGCTCTCCAGATTCGCCAGATCCTGGTCAACCACATGGGTGTGGAACATATCATATTGTCGCAGGAGATCCCCGACGTGCCCAGTGTGCTCATGCATGGCAGTCACCTCCCATATGTGGGAGGCTAAGAATGTCACAAGCTCTTCTCGTGTTGAGACACAGCCCGGGGGAGCGTGCTCACAGATCGCTGGCAACAGTCGGGTGTACTGATCAAAAAACCATTGCAACGGGGCATCTGCGGCAACGCACGCGTCGGTGGTCCAATACTGGCCTATGTACTCCTTAGCAAAAGTCTCCAAAATCGAGTACAACTTGAGGCCCCAATATCCGTATGGGTATTCTTCTCTCGTGAGGTTATCCACACCTCTTCGCCGCATGTTGCTTGGAAAGCTTTCAACTCGGAACTCCCGACACGCTGACCTCATCAGTTCTTGAACAGACCACTGGGAGAAAGGGCCCATTCGATCAAACATGGAACCTGGACAGGAGATCATGCTCTTGGACCCCCAGTTGACATGGAGAGTGACCACTGTGAATGGGGTCAGAGCCCTGCGCCATGGGTGATCAGGATCCATTTCCCGCACCACGGTGGCAGTGAAGCCACCACGCAGGTAGTGGCAAGAGATGGTGTGGGGATAGAAGATCAGCGCCGCGCCACAGGTGCATCTGAAAACATGCCTCTACTCCCCTGAGAACCTTAATAAGAACATATTTTTCATTTCCTCTTGGGTTTAAATAAACAAGGATTAAAACCAAAAAAAGTAATTCCCAAAGGGGAATATAGATGCAAAGCACCAGCCCAATCATCATCCGTGGGGAGGTACGTCTTACCGTGAAGGTCGAGTCCTTCCACACGGTCTAAAGATGAAGACAAACGCATGCATCCCCCCATTCTCATGTAGCCCTGTCTCACCGGCATGGCTTCAATGGAGCTGTAATCCACGACGTACGAGTTGCCTCTTCTTGCCAGGGCATACGCGCCGAGGCCTTGGGTGCAGAAGCGAATTGCCCCCACTTCTGAGTGCCGTGCCGCGGAAAGATCTACTCGTGCACCATACTGCGTTCCGAAACGCTCGATGGTCGTTTCACAAATCGTATCAAACTGAGATCTGCTGCATCTGATCAGCTTCGAAGGTTCGAGTGTGTTGGGATAGTAGAACACGGCCATCCGCCCAAGCACTTGATCTCCAAGCCAGCGGAACCATGCTGGCATCCATTGATCATAGTCGCCTTCGCCCATGATGAAGTCGCTTCCAAGCACCTCGCTCATGAAAGCGTTCCTGATCCTTTGGTGACTTCCCTGGGTCTTGCTGGAGGGCACGGAGCACTGCTGCAGCAAGGTGCCACAGAACAAGTTCCCCAAACCAAACATGAGAGCTATGTTGGCTGCCCATGGTTCCATCCCCAGCCAGGACATGCGCAGGAGAATCCGGGCACCCACCCATGCCTCGTACCAGCTTCGCGACAACAGCGCGAGCGGCGCATACAGCACGATCTGCAAAAGGGCCACGGAGATTGCCAGCCATGCCTGCGGCACACATCCGCATTGAATGCCCTCATTGGGCGTGCAGCCTGTAAACTTGCCGAAGACTTGTTCTTCTTCCAGCAGCTGCCGTACTTCATGCTGCGCCGTAGCCGCTGCCCTCTCTCGAGGCAACATGAGTTCTAGCGGAGTTTGAGCTCAGGTGGGCTTCGGGTATCGGATCCTTTTTTGGCGACCCTAGCTGACACCCGGGTTCAAGACTCAAGACTTAAGAGTTTACATAGAGTGTAGGTGATTGCTGGCGTGGGGAGAGGGGGGGCCTCTTCTTGGGCTTCTGCAACGCCCGTCACCGCGTTGAAGACGCTGTGCGCCAGCTCAAGCATGGGGAGGAGCTCCTTCAAAAAAGAGTAACCCGAAGCTTTGCTCATAAACCACGGACTGCGAGGCCCGGAAACCTGTAACCTATACTACCCCCCCAAACCCCCCCAACAAAAAGATGTTAATCCCTCCATGACCCTTGTATAAGGAAGGAAGACTGTTTGTTATTTGGGGGGTTCTTACTTAAGCCATGAGTAGTGGGGCGCCTAACCCGCAAGCCCCCTTGTAACCGCTTACGCTCGGACAAGCGATGCAAGCAAGCAGGTCGGGCAAACACCGGCAGCATCTTTGTGCGCTCGGAGAGCAAGCCTTGTACTATGCCTGGAGACCCGGCCACCGCTCTAATAAGCGGCAAACCCCGAACCCTACACTTGCAGTATGGTGGTTCTCTACATTAGGGGTCCCTTTTCGGGGATTCCATTTTTATAAGGTGACAATTTAGGGTTTAGGAGTCAGATGAAGGACCCCAAAAGGTAACATCATCTGGGGGCTTACGAAAATAATGTGGGACCCCTAAGACAGATCCCCAAGTCGTACCATTCCCTTATAATCAGGAACCCAAAAAAGCACCCCCTAATCCCGGAAACCCCCAAGTTGACAAAAATACCCTAGCCCCACATATAGTAGGCTTCTATATAACCAAAATTAACCAAAAAATTAAGGTTACCTACCCAGCCCCTAGGTCATCTGGGGAGATGCACCAACCAAAACTCCTGCGACGCGTCGTGCTCGCGCAGGATGAAGAGACCTCCTGGTCGAAGGACGCGCCGAACCTCCGCCAGGAAGCCTTGCTCAGTTGAGGTTTAGGGCTTTAGGGCTTTAGGGGTTTCTGGGGTTTTAGGGTTGTAGGGTTTTGGGGTTTGGGGCTTTGGGGCTTTGGGGCTTTGGGGTTTTGGGTTTTTGGGTTTTTTTGGGGGGTTTTGGGGTTTTGGGGCTTTGGGTTTTTTTGGGGGGTTTTGGGGGTTTGGGGCTTTGGGGCTTTGGGGTTTTGGGGTTTTGGGGTTTGGGGGTTTGGGGGTTTTAGGGTTTCCTGGACCTTCGAGCTAGAGTGAACCCTATTGCAGGAACCCCTAAATAGGCACCCGTCCCCCCCCCCACCCCCCCACCCTCAATTTTAAGAAAGGGTTTAGGGTTTAGGTTTAGGGTTTAGGGTTTAGGGTTTAGGGTTTGGGGTTTAGGGTTTAGGGTTTAGGGAGCTTCTTCCAGCCGCCCAAGCTGTCTCCCTGCAGGTGATTTGGTTGTTGGTGGACGGACGCAGCCCAAACTCGAGTGTAGGGTTAGGGGGGGATGTCACAGTTATATATATATATACATATATATATATATAAAGTGTTCTGAACATTTGTTGACACTAGCGATTTGTTCAACTAGAGTCAAGACACACAACCGTGACCGATAAGCCAACACCCAAACCGCCATCCGAAAGATGCACTCTGAACCATCGACAGCTTTGAAATTTCCTGGAGGCTGCCAAAGTGTGTACAGCACGCGCCACATGTTCAGGGTATCCTACTTGTCCAGTATCCTCGGAAAAATTGAAGGTTGACGTAAACCCTAAACCCAGACCCTAAACCCTAGACCGTAGACCCTAAACCCTAAACCCGAAACCCTACGTCGACCTGCCAATAAAACATAATAAACCAATATCTACTTGCAGGGGGATTGGGTTGAAATTCTAAGGGGCTGTAATCTTATTTTGGGCCTGTTTTTCAAAAGGGCTGGCCTCTTCTAAGCCTCTTCTAAGCCACTTCGGGGCCTCTTTGGGGTTTTGCTTTACAACACCCCAACAAATTCAAGGTTGCCCACTCTACTACTCAGGTACTTGTTTCGTCTTGTGGGATTTGGGGTGGGTTTTGGGATGTTGGGATGGGGTTGTAAGGGCGGAAGCGATCTTTGAGCCCAGGGGCCGACGATGTGCTGCTGCGGCATGTGGTGCAGGCCTTGCATCCTCGACTGCTCCAAGGAGGCCCCCGGATCTTCTAGGGTTTAGGGTTTAGGGTTTAGGGTGCGAGTCTCAAGAGTTCCTGAGCCCTAGAATCGTCCACCTCGTATCCTTGCCTGCGCAAGATACCTGGAAGCCCAAACCCTCAAGCAGCCACCTTCCCTCCATGGAAGGTGCAGGCAGCTGTTCCGGCAGAGTCGGCGTTTTTTAGATAGGAGCTGCCAAACCCTAAGCCCAAGAGTCCCCGAAGCCCCAGGCCCCCTAGACCGCCGGGCTGCGAACCCTAAACCCAAAACCCACAACCCAAAGCCCTAAACACTAAACCGGACTCCATCCTGGGAAAGAGTTTACGACTATTTGCTTAAGAACTCCCAAACAATCAAAGGCAATAATTCCTACACAACACTTATAAGTAAGAACACACTTTGTGTTTTTTGGGGGGGTTCTTGAGTAACTTATACAGTTTCGGGTTGAGTTTTTCCTACTCAAAAGCCAATGAGGAATGCCAGGTCGCAGCGTTACGAGGTCGGCACTCTCGTCTGGAACGCCTCAAAACAACCGCTGCCGAAAAGTGATGGCCTAGATTCGACTAAACTTCTCAAGCAAGATTTATGGAATTTCTGGAATAGGGGTATATCATGTACTCCCCTTAGATTAGGAACCCAGCCCCTTCAAAGAAAAAGCAAAAACACATACATATGAGAGACCCCCGCTCGGGTATACAGTGCTTAGGAAGGGTCCCAGAGTGCTCTTTTCCACTAGCCCGACAAGCGATATGGGTATTCCCAGAATAGGAGTACCCCTTTTTTTGCCCAGAAAAGAATCCCCTTAAAGAGGCCCCCCGATAAACTGAAGAGAGGCACCTGCCAAAAACTATCTAACGGTTGAAAAGGCTTAGGGTTTAAAGCTTTCGGCTTTCTTTTTGGGTTGAAAGCCTTGATCTGCAGAACTACTTGGGGCCTCCTTGCTCTCCTTAGTTGCTGAATTCATAAGCCCCCCAAAAAGTGTACACTTTCAGTTCTATAGGGGGTTAGAGTATCCTAAAGTGTACTCATTCAGCAACTAAGTCTCACTCCCGGCCCCAAGAGCTGAACAGGGATCGGGTGTTTGCAGGTTTCGGCCTCTCCTGCCCTCACCAAGCTTCAGGGTGCTGAGCTTTGGGTACCCTAAACCCGTTTTCAAACCTAAACCCTAAACCCTAAACCCGAAGCCCGAAGCCCTAAGCCCTAAGCCCTAAACCCTAAACCCTAAACCCTAAACCCTTGAGGCTACATAGGTGCTCGGGTCTCAGAGCCGGCCTTAGGCGCCCAATTCCCTTGCTTTCCCTGGGGAGCACAGCGTGCGGGGGTGTGGTGTGACTACGAACGCAGCTTAACCTGGGACCCTTTTTTGACGTACAGCTTTATGGGTTCTACCTACGAATTCAGGGGTAGTTCATACTAAACTGGGTAAATAGAGTCCCGGGAAGGTTTCGACTCTCACGAGAGCAAGCGCAGGCGAGGATTCTGGTACGAGTTTGCAGTGAGCTGTTAGGCATACAGACTCACGCACAAATGCTCGCAAGCAGGATTTTGATAACAGTACCTCAGACTCTACAGTTTAGAAGTAACAACTCCTTGAATAGTAGATAGAACGCAGAAAATGTAGGCAAAAGGGTCCCAGGCTTACCCCTAACATGGGAGCCTGAGCGCGTGAAACTGAACCGTGACCTCCTAGAACAGGGGGGGGGAGGTGTTCACCTGGAGCTCCTAAGGTTTAGGCTGTGGGAGCCGAAAGACCTGCACCTGAACACATGCCATTCGTAATTGAAATTACCTGCAAGCCCTTAACCTGGTAACCCCGGACCCTGATTTCCCAACTTACAATTTCGCGCTTTCTGTTTATGTCATCGGCATACAGAAGATGACTAAGCCACGCTGCTTTCTTGGGGGCAGGGGTGCGTTTGACATTCATCCCCTAAACTCTAAACCCTAAACCCTAAACCCTAAACCCTAAACCGTGTACAGGTGCCTTGAAACGGCTTGCCATCGCGCAGCTCCCACTGCACGAAGGTCCCCACCGGCTGCAGTGAGCCGCGCTCCGCGTAGGCCTCCAACTCCTTGACAGGCGCAGGGTTAAGGGTTTAGGGTTTAGGGTTTGGGGTTTGGGGTTTAGGGTTTGGGGTTTAGGGTTTAGGGTTAGGGTTTAGGGTTTACGGTTTAGGACTGCCTTCCCATGCCCCAGCATGTCAAGCCCCGCAGAAAATGAGGACCTTGTAGGTCCAACAGGAATAGTGATTATGAGTCTGTAGGTTTAGGGTTTAGGGTTTAGGGTTTAGGGTTTAGGGTTTAGGGTTTAGGGTTTAGGGTTTAGGGTTTAGGGTTTAGGGTTTAGGGTAACACCGACCACAAACCCGAAATCCAGGAGAGACCCCAGTTGATTTCGGTGACTTCTTGTCATCTTGGCGGTTATCTCCAACCCAAAACACCCCAAACCTAAACAGAGCAACCGAGCCCGAGTAGTTCTTGCTCCTCCCGCGCAACAACATTCGGGTCTACGAAAGTAAGGGAACCCTGACATAGACTCCAAATAGCCTATAATGAGGACTCCAATAAGGTACCCCCCTTTTTTCGGAAACCCACAGCCCCTAATGAACCCCGAACTCCTTTTATCAACTCAAGCTCTCTCAAAGCTCCTTCCCTTTCCCCCCGCCCTAAACCCTAAACCCTAAACCCTAAACCCTAAACCCTAAACCCTAAACCCTAAACCCTAAACCCTAAACCCTAAACCCTAAACCCTAAACCCTAAACCCTAAACCCTAAACCCTAAACCCCAACAGACTACTATCAAGGGCTGGCTGGCCCGGGCCTCCGCTTCG